GTTTCCGAGCAAAGAGCGGCAGCTGTGAGCACGTGATGTTTGCCCTATATGAATTACTCCCAGAAATTCAAAACAATATAAATTTTTCAGTGTTTGCAATTTTGTGGATTTTTGTGACATTTTCTGTTAATTGTTTGCATTTTTGTCTGTGCATTTTAATTAGTGAAAAATACAAAAAATGTGTTGCATGTGCATTTAGGAGTTAATTTTTGCATTTTAAGAATTATTCAATTTAGTGGCTTTATAAAAAGGAAAAATCGCAAAAAATAGTTTAATTTGAACTCTTTAAGTTTAACTTTGAATTTTGCTAGTTTTCATTTAATTCGATATTTGATTAGCTTGTGATAATTGTTAGAGTTAATTAGTGTGATTTGGGTAGTTTAATTTAGTTATTAGAATTAATTTAGTGTTTAGTTTAATTTTGAAATAAAAGAAAAGAAGAAAAAGAAAAGAAAAGCAACAAAAGAGTTTGATTTTGAGGAAAAGAAAAGATTTTGAAAAGAAAAGAGAGAGAGCAGATTTTATATTTTGGGCCAAAGTTATTTAAAATTGCCAAGCTCAAGCTGATCCCCCTCAACCAGCCTGCTTACCCGACCCAAACCCGGTCACCATACCCGGTCCAGCCCCCCAAGGACTCAAACGATGTCGTTTTGCCTATAACAAATCCCAGCCGTCGAGGTTCCTTGATCGGACGGCTGGGAAGCTGGGATTGTTTAATATATAATTGTCCAAATTGGACCCCGCCCCTTAGAACCCCCCTACCCCCCTCCGTCTCTCACCGGCCATTAGAGACAATTCAACATCACCATCCTCCGCCGCAAACCGCCGGCCGGAAATCGCCTCCGCCGGCGGCAGGTCTCCGATGGCCACCATATTTTCACCACAGGCCCCTCTTTCCTTCCTCTTTCCAAATTCATGCCTCGTTTCCCTCAAATCCCACCCAAACTGCTCGAATAATCGAAACCCTAGCNCCGTTTGGTGCTCTTGATTTGAAAAACAAAAATGGTGAAACCTTCCAAGTTAATGGGCACCGAGTGAAGCACTATCTTGGCAAGTTTGATGACAGCCACGTGGTGGCAATATGTGAATCCTACGTCCAGTCCTCTTAGGTTGCAAGGGTGCTCTCTTTCAGTATTTGAAGTTTCTCGATTACAAGAGAGTTGATGTAGATTTACACCAACAGCTTAGTCACTATGTCACTTCTCTCTTCTTGATACAATGTCTCGCTAGTGTTTGTCTCTTTTTCTTCTCTCACTAATTACACAGCAAATTTAAAGAGAACTACAATTCTTGTTTGGAGTAGAACAAAAAGAGTGATAGTGGTTCGTTCAAAGTATATTTGCTTCAAGCCTGGAACAGATGTATATATACTTCGTGAGGCCTTCTTGACTCTTAATTGACATGAATCCTGAGAGATTACAAACCCAAGGGAGTTGATCTTTTAAAGGAATCATAAATTGACTTTTTCCAAGAATAAGGTGCAGTTTTTGTTGCTCTTCCTTGACTTGTGACCTTGATAGACTTTTGTTCNATGCCAAATCCACAACCTATTACCCTTCAAATACCCCTCAAGACCCTCGAATATTAAATCGAAAATCAGGCCCTAAGAGTCCGACATAGATTTTTCATTCTGCGAGGCTTCCTCTCCAGCTTTCATAGGTCTTAGGCTCAATTTCACCATGGGATAATGGCATTTGGCTGTTCTTGACAAAGAAGAGTTGATTGACATTATCTCGCGGTTAAAATTGGAAGGTCAGTCGTGTTCGAGTTTAATTGGTAAGTTTTCTTAGATTTATTTTATTCCACCTTGCATGTGAATTTTAATCTAGTTTGTGCATTGAATTTTGCTTGCCGGTTTTCTCCGATTTGTTTTGTTTAAGTTTTTGATTTTTCTTCTCTGTTCATACTGATATAGCTTGGTTCTGTTTTATTAATTTTGTTTGTTTTCTTTTTCTATTTGACTGATAAGTTATAATAGTAGCTTTTAATTCTGGTTTCTAGTAGTTAATACAAGCTTGAAAATTAGAGTGTTGGATTTGCATTCCAATTTGGGGGTTTTGTTTTAATTGAATGTCGTTTGGTTGTTGCTGAATAATCCAAAGCCCTTGAAATTAACCATGGTCAGCATTGACCAAGTTAAAGGGGTTGGTATAGTTGGGTTGCGTTTAGTCTAACCTAGTTTAACAATTTTAAGTAATATTCATGGGTAATCAAGGGCATACTAGGTATTTTCAATTAAGGAATCCCGCAGTTAGGACCTTAAGGTTTTTAAGGCAAAAGCTAAACTAAAAAGGGACTAAAAAGGGAAAACTTAAAATCTGAAGTTGCCATAGTAACTTGCCTATAAAGGCACTGTTACTTAGGGCTGAAGGAAGAGATTTAAGCACTAAAAAACCCCTGAAAAGTTCCAGGCGGCAGAAATTTCCAAAATAGCACTGTTCCATTAAATTTTCTGGAGATCTTTGAGCTTTTTCTTTGTTAAAACAATCCCTGAGTGTTCAGAAGTTTAAAATGAGCTAAACTTGGTTTGGTATTCAAGTATTTGGGGTCAGCTTGGTTGGATTTTGGTAATTGGGTTTCCATTGATATATTGTTGATGCAAATTTGGTTTCAAGTGGGTTTTCCTCAATTATTTCTGTGACGAGTCTGCTTGGTGAACCTTGTCCCTGCTGCTACTTCTTGCTACTCACTTGTTTTTGGTTTGCTTCATGTGTGAACTCCAGGAACACATTCTGAATCTGCTTTGATGTAGCTCTCAAATTAGAAATGAAATGAAAGTGATGCGAGATGTTTGTTGATATGTGTTTGAATGATTCATTGTATTTCAAGTAGTTTTATCAACTTAGCTAAATCTTCATTGTAATTAATTATGGACTGTTGAACTGTAATATGTCCTATTTGTTTATTCCAATTCTAGTAACTTAGATGTGTTTTGCAAGTCAAATACTAGTATTGAATGTAGAAATGGAATTAGGACTTATCAAGTCTACCACTGTCATAGCGTATGAATTTTAAAGTATCTCAAAAGGTTGTTATCAGGTTTTCAATTCTAGCTTGAGTTCCAAGTGAATCTGAAGTTAATTGCAGAATTATTGGGTGTGCTTGACTAGCCTTGTTTTTTGTGGTTTAATAGGTTGGAAATAGTTCTATGATTCATATAACTTAGTCTTGATTCACCCGTAAGCAAGTCAGTTTGATTAAAAGATAAAATCCAATAATTCATGTATTTTCTTAGTTTTTAAACATGCATATCAATATAGCTTGTCTATTTATTTGCAATTAATAGTGAAGCGAAAAAGGTTCTGTTTGACCTCATGTCCATGTGCAATATGGGTTATGTTTGCATTGCTGCCAGGGCTATTCGGATCACAATGACCGAGATTAATGTTGGCCTGTTTGCATAATAGTAGGCCAGAACATTATTAGCCCGTTAAAGTAATTAATTTTGCTGAATTGTGAGCTTGTGGGTACTCGATCCAGAGTCCCAGCTCCAGTTGGCCTCCGATTTGAGCTTGTCCTAAGGCCCAAACTTTAGACAGCTTTTACGAACAAAGCTGAGCTAATCTTCTTTCTTCTTGGGCTGGCTTCGAAGCCCAACATGCTGAAAATCCCATTCATTATTGAAGCTATGAATTAAATGGTAGGCTTTGGGCCTTTCAAGTTAAGTAGCGGACTCGAGCTAAGGGTTTCTTCAGTAATGGAGATCGCCCTTGTTCGAGTTTGGACTTGAGCTTGGGCCCGAATTTCCTTGAATGCCATGATGTTAGTTAATTCATAAAGTTGACAAATTAAGTTTTTGTTTTAAAGACAACCCTTAATAGATAATATTAGTTCCTCTTTAGGATGTCCTTTAAAAAATAAATTGAGGTGTACCGCGCCAAATAAAATGATAAATTGCGTGGCCCTCATTAATCATTTCTTTAAAAATACTTAGAACTCGGGACGTGCCATTTCGCAAATTTTCATGGCCTCCCACAAAGTTAACAATGCGTTGGTTGCTTTAGGCGCGTCTTTTAATAATATTACCTTCTTAAACTCGGGTGTGCATTTCATGTGACCCAAATCCAAATCCCAAAACGTTGAATAAAATATGTTTAGGATTGCGGGTGCATTTCATGTGATGCGATCCAAAGACATATTTTAAACGACGTTCAACATTCTTTAAAAAATTGAATAAAAGCGGTTAAAAGCTAAAATTTGTACATAGGTTCAAAATGTATTAAAATCAGATAAATAAACCAAATATAGCAGTTGAGCGACCGTACTAGAACCACGGAACTCGGGAGTGCCTAACACCTTCTCCCGGGTTAACAGAATTCCTTACCCAGATTTCTGGTTCGCGACTGTTAAACGGAGTCAAAACTTTTCCTCGATTCGGGATTCAAACCGGTAACTTGGGACACCATAAATCTCCCAAGTGGCGACCCTGAATCTCTTAATAAAAATAAATCCCGTTTCGATTGTCCTTTAATTGAAAAAACTCCTTTTATTATACTCTTCACGGGGGTGTAGCGAAAAAGGAGGTGTGACAATGTACACTCACAACCACCATCTATAGAGGGACAGACTAGGAAATCTAATCAACAAGGAAAGGGAAGGCCTCCTTTATGGCTTAAGGACTACATCATTAAGGCCAAGGCACATACAAATACTATATACTCTATCTCTGATGTTCTCTCCTATGATTATCTATCTCCTGCCTACAGTCATTCCTCAATATTTTTTTAGTTTTAACTAAACCACAATCCTTCAAGGAAGCTGCACATGATCCAAGGTGGATAGAAGCCATGAATTAAGAAATTAGAGCACTTGAAGAAAACCATACCTAGGAAGTGGTTGATTTACCAGAAGGAAAAAAACCTATTGGTTCTAAATGTGTGTTTAAGAACAAGTATTAGTCATCTGGTGAGATTGACAAGTTTAAGGCACGACTGGTAGCTAAAGGATACACACAACAAGAAGGGCTAGACTATCATGAGACTTTTTCACCAGTTGCCAAAATGGTAACTGTGAGAACTGTCTTGAGCATAGCAGCCTCAAAGGGATGGATCCTCTATCAGATGGATGCCAATAATGCGTTACTCCAAGGGGATCTTTATGAAGAAGTTTACATGGTTCTTCCATAAGGTTTCAAACGACAGGGGGAGAATAAAGTCTGCAGATTGTTGAAGTCACTCTATGGGCTGAAACATGCTTCAAGATGAATATTAAACTCACAGATGCCTTAGTGGGAGCAGGGTATCAACAGAGCGCATATGATCATTCTTTACTCACCAAACAGACATCACATGACATTGTGATTATATTGGTGTATGTTGATGATCTCTTGATTACAAGCAGTAATATTTCCTTAGTAGAAGACGCCAAAAACACATTGCATAACAGCTTTAAGGTAAAGGATTTGGGTGAGCTCAGATATTTTTTGGGGATTGAGGTGATGAGATCAGATCAAGGAATATTGTTGAACCAACGAAAATATGCACTGGAGTTAATCTCTTCCACAGTCTTGGCTGCTGCTAAACCCACATCTACCCCTATTAAGTTAAATCAGAAATTGACCACTATAGAGTATGACAAACATGTTGGGCACAATGGTGATGAAGAGTTGCAAGATGTGGGGAGATACCAAAGACTAGTAGGGCAGTTACTCTAACTAACCATTACCCGACCTGATATTTGTTTTGTTGTGCAAGTTCTTAGCCAATTCATGCAGCATCCCAAACAATCACACTTAACTGCAGCACTTTGAGTGGTTAGGTACATTAAGGGGTCACCTGGTCTTGGCATTTTCCTCAAGAAGGGTCCTATCACCCACCTTTCTGCCTTCTATGATTCAGACTGGGCAGCTTGCCCAAACACACGAAGGTCGATCACTGGATATGTTTTTAAGCTTGGGGATTCCTTGTTGTCATGGAAGTCAAAGAAGCAGCAGATAGTGAGTCGTAGCTCAGCTGAAGCTTAATATAGAAGCCTTGCTGCAGTAACAGCTGAAGTTACTTGGATTGTTGGATTACTACAAGAATTGCATATTGAGATACATCAGCCTGTTGATGTCTATTGTGATAGTAAAGCTGCACCTCAAATAGCATCAAATCCTATTTTTTATGAACGAACAAAGCACATCGAGATAGATTGTCACTTTGTTCGAGAAAAAAATTAAGACTGGCCTGCTTGCTCCTCATCACATTTCGATCAAACTTCAGCTGGCTGATCTCATGACGAAGGGACTTGGTGTTGCTCAATATTTCTTCCTCCTTTCCAAGCTTGGCGTGTTCAATGCTTTCCACCCTCCAGCTTGAGGGGGAGTCTTAGCATATGAGGGTCAAAGTGTACATAATAGAACTAGGAGTGTGCAAGTTAGAAAAGAAAAGTTAGTTTGTTATGTTAGTTAATTGACAGCTGTACATGTGATGTCAACTAAGTAGTGGAGAAGCTGTATATACAGCCTTGTATGTAACGAGAGAAAATAGAATTTTCATAATACAATTTGAATTCCTCTTCTTCCTTCTCAATTCTCTCTCACAATTGAACATGATTGCTTGTTTACCTTTCCACTTCAGTCCACTTATTGGTTTGAAGCCAGTATCACCAGTTACATGAGCTGATCTAGTTATCCTTGTTGATGATAATAGTGGATACTATTGTACTACTTAGCAACGCAGGCTATACCAAAATAGTTTAATTAGTTTAAGGTACAGTAAGATAGTAGAAGATATGATTGCATCAACACTTAAATTAAAAGTTGTGAAGCCATTTTCATCTTGAAACACATACGTTCCCATCACTCTTGGCCTTTTATATGGTATTGTGCTTTCCACACCCCTTCCCCTTAATCTAGTAGCGGCAAATGAAGTAGGTGCAACAGATAGAGGTGTATCAGATGAATTAGGAGCAGAACATGAAAACTAACTTTTAAGTGAATGAGGTGTTCCCATTCCGCCCCTTCCTCTTCCCTTCCTCCAGTTCTTGATGAAATTCCAGCAGCAGCAAAAGTATTAGGTGTAGATGCACTAGGTGTAACATTAGGAGCAGAACATGGAAACCAACTACCAAGTGAATGACGTGTGAAGTCGATGGAAATTCAACAGCAACAGATGCACTAGGTGCAGTATCAGGTGCATTAGCAGCAGATGCATTAGTTGGTTTTCTTGGTCTACCTCTCCGTCTTTTTACAGCAGGATCACCTTCATTAAAAGTTAGTTTCTTAAAAAGGCATGTTAGATAGTGAATTGAATTTAAAATAATTCATACATAATAGAACATTACCTTTGGGCTGCCCCTTCCTTTCCTGAACTTGATGGTTTTGCAGCAATTGTTGATGAAGTAGCACCAACCTGATGGTCTATCGCTCTTTAGACTCCCTCTTTTGTTGTGACCCTCTCATTAGACTCCCTCTTTTGCTGTAACCCTCTCATGGAAAAATTCACTCATTAATACAATTCCCATTAATTGTCTAGAGAGCAGTACGCTGAGTAAATAAAATAAGTCGATGCTTGATTCAGTTTTATACTATGACAAGTACGCAAGCTTGCTTTAGAAGCATAATTATCGCTGATGTGTAATGATATTACTCTTATTGTTGCAGGAGCTCTACTAATGAAAGCTGAGGAAGTGGCTAAAGAAATTGGTTCTCAAGTCCTCAAGCTTGTGCCTCCAATTAAAACAGTACTACAATTCTAGTTATAATATGGTAATGCCTAAAATCAAGATCTCTTTTTATCTCTATAAATCTGTACAATTCATTAATTAATCTTCAAAATCCTTAGTGTAAGGGGAAACTAAAGATTCTATAGGAAACCTTTTCATAGTGAAATTCCAAAATTCGGGAGTTTGAAGTTTAAAAGGGTTACATTTCGCGTTTTCATACGTTAAAATTTCGTCAGTTAATCAACGTAGGCTCGGGAAGGAGATTATTTTTGAGGTTATAAGCATTTATGCTATTTATAACATGCGATAAGTAAGTGCCGTGAAGTTTAGAGGGTAAATGAATCAAAGAAAATGAATTTCGTTGAAGGTTGTCAATTTGAAATAAAATACGGTCCAAACTATAATACCTGGTGTTTATGGACTAGTTCCATACAAGATACCACATAACCATGATAGTAAGGTGTATAAAGTATGTTAAAAGTGAGTAGTATTTTAAGTAATTTAAGATAATTCTTAATTATGTGGATAATTGGGTAATTATTGATTTTTAGTGGGTGATTAACTAAGTAATTAGAATCTTTGGATAAATTTAATAAGCCTCCCAACGTGGCAGCAAAAGGGGTCTTAATCAAAGCTCAATTTGTGACTCTTAATTCAAGTAACTAGGTGGCACATTTAGAGAATTTTGAGGCTAAGTCATCACATATGTGGGGCCCACACCCACTAAGATTAAAGACCTCTCTAATTCACTTAGGGAGATGCTTGTATCTCTACAATGTAATGAAGGAAAGCTTCAGCAAAATTCAAACGAGATTATATGACGTAATAGCAACGAGATTTGCAATTTTAAGGGAGCCCAATATAACCTTTCTCAAGAATATCAGACGGATTTTTTCCTACTTCGATCTCGTCGTTACATGTTTTATCGCGATTGACGTCTGTTATAGGGATTGTCAAGAGAATCGGTTCAGGTATGTTAAGACTATCCCTTCTTTCCTTTTGTCATGATCCATACGATACAAACGAAACGAGTAAACACACAATTTTCATAAGTGACTCTATTCATAGAAGTACTAGAGCTGTCAATGTTCTTGATTCCTCGCGTGTCTTAATGTTATATCTTCTGCTCATGGGTCTCAGAAAATACGTAAGTTGATAAAGTTTATTTCATGATATTAATCAAAGGCATATTGATCTTGTGACATTTCGAGAAATCTTATTAACGTACTTCATAAGCATTTCATTTATTTATACATGTACATTGACTCATGAGCAGATGGTGTTATATACATGTATATTATATGTATATGGGATATGGAAAAAGGTTACGACGTTATATACGCACCACCACCTGGTCAGTTGATACACGTTGATGATTTCGCCCACAGAGGCCGAGATAATATGATGGGATTCCCTCAAAGGCTTGATGATATTATGTACACCTATACCTATGCATGATACGACATTTATACGCACATCCATGACATTATAAATGTTTCAGGATTCACAAAGTTATTTAGACTTATTGGTGGAATTCTTTACTTCACATTTCCTTATGTCTTTTATGTACTGATTTCCATGCCTTACATACTCAGTACATTATTCGTACTGATGCCCCTATTTCCCGGGGCCTGCGTTTCATACCCGCAGGTGCAGGTAGATGGGCTAACGGTCCCCCATCTTACGATCCTTGCTCAGTGAGACATGGTGAGCTCCACTTGATCCGGAGCTGTTATTAGTTTTGGTACGTTATTTTTGTACGTAGATATGGGTATGACGGGGACCAGTCCCGTCCTTTATATGGTTGTACACTCAAATACAAGTTTGTAGATAGTGATGCATAGTTGGATAGTATGTGGCCTTGTCAGCTTTTAATTTTTGATATATAGTTGTCTATAGCAGCCTTGTCGGCTCGCCCTACCATATTCCGCATGTATATGTATATATGTCTTTTGGACATGTTTTCCTCACGTATGTTATTCACGTGATTCAGCAGTTTATTGACCAATGTTATTCGTGACCTACCCTTAATTGATGTTTATATCTTAGACGCATGTTTAGGGGTGTTCCACAAGTATCAGAGCATTTTTGTCCTAGCATTTTTGTCCTAGGATGGCCCATCGGTTTGGGTCGTGACAAAAGTGGTATCAGAGCATTTTTGTCCTAGGATTGTCTACAGACCGTGTCTAGTAGAGTCTTATTTATGGGTGTGTTGTGCACCACACATATAGACAAGAGGTTACATGACATATAGGATGTTATCCTCCCTTCTTATCTTATATCGTGCGATATAAGAATTCATTTTCCTAATGTTGTGTTATGTCTTCAGCGATGCCTAAGAAGGCTACTGCCGCCCAGAAGGGAAAGTCCATGGCTGATGAGACTACTAGTCGAGCACCACGAGTTACCAGGGCTCAGGGAGAGTCTCATAGTGAGGTTCCATCTCAGACTTCACATACCCTTTCTAGAGGAGCTCCGAGGGGAACCAGCCCTAGCGCCCACCCCTGTACATCCAGCTCCTCAGTCAGATGCACCTGGTCAGGAGATGAGAGATGCTATTCAGCTATTAACTCTATTTGTAGCCGCACAGGCTCGGCGTTATGAGGTAGGTATTGGTCATGCAGATAGGTCCATCAGTGCAAAGGTTCGTGATTTCATTAATTTGGACCCTCTGGTATTCGCTGGAGCAGATCCAAACAAAGACCCTCAGGTATTTATCGATAGGATGTAGAAGACTTTGAGGGTAATGAAGGCCACTGCGACTGAGTCAGTTGAGCTAGCTTCCTATAGACTTCAAGATGTCGCAGTTAATTGGTACGAGTCTTGGGAGTTGTCTAGAGGTGAGGATGCCCCTCCAGCAGTATGGTAGGAGTTTAAAGGCTTTCTTCATCATTACCTGCCACCAGAAATTAGAAGGCCAGAGTTGATATGTTCTTGACCCTTCGGCAGGGTAATATGAGTGTTCAGGAGTACAACCTTCAGTTTGATTCTTGGCTAGGTATGCTCCCACTATTGTATCTAATATGGAGGATCGGGTTCACCGGTTCGTGATGGGTTGGAGCCACCGTACCTGCTTAACGACTGTATGTCGGTCTCACTTCAGCCAGGCATGGATATTTCTCGTATTCAGGCATACGATCAGGGTGTAGAGGAGCGTAAACAGAAGTAGAGGGCCAATCATGAGCATGATAGGGGCCAGAGTAAAAGAGCGAGATCTTCGGGTCCTTCTAGTGAGTTTTGAGGTGGTCAGAGACAACAATACCCGAGGTGTCCAGCCCATCCATCGGCTAGCGCACCCCCTCAGTTTACCGGTAG